AGAAAAATCACAATTCATTCTGCCTTTGGAAAGATGAGTGGTTGCAAAGAAAGAAACACTCAGAACCAATTCCAGTGATCCTGAAACAATAGTAAAAACTTAATTTCAGAAACAAAGACTTTGTCCTGCTTGTGCACACTCTTGGGCCATGACTGTAAGTTTACTATCGGGAGGTCACAGTCACTCACTATTAGAGTAAAACTAGGAAGAAAATTTAGTCCCACTTTCACAGTACTTTTATGTTTATATATGAACTTATTTTTCTTTTTGGCATTTTTATTTTAAAACAGTTATTTTGATAATAATACTAGCATTTTGAAAACAGATGTTCCAAAAAACAGATTATTTATCAATTTTTAACTTTTGCTTAGAAAAATATCTTTACATGAATCCTGGATGCTTCTAAGAATATTTATTTTGTGAAATATAAAATGCCAAAATAGCACAATGGGCTTCACAATAAATTCAAAGAAAAATACTGTAATTTGCTTGGTAGTTAATAAAATGTTAAATAATAATCTTTACAACATAAGGGGCATTTCAGAGGATAAGAATGAATTTCTTTTTTAATTAAAGAGAAAATCTGTTCTAATTTTTTATTAAGTTTTTTAGAAGAGATAGCAACATTACATTCCCCTACATCGAGACTGACAATCCCCTAGTTAAAGAATCCACACATAGGTACATATATTAACAATACACATGCAAATGTATGTGTACATATTATGTATGTATGTGTGTGTATATAACATTAATACATTTCTAAAAAGTATCATGGTTGGCAGGATTATAGATAGCAAGACCAAGATATCACGAAAGTGGAGGATTAGAGGAAAAAAAATTTTTATTGCATAAAATAGAGTTTGCAAACATAGTCAAATATTCTAGAAAGCATCCTCTTTCAAAACATATGCATTATTATTGGATGTCTGCCCCATTCGGTAACCCTTCTCCTGAATCACTATCTTCAGCTGTTCAGGAACTTTGGCATGACAACTTGGGCTGCTAAGGTTTTGAACCAGCTTGAAATAAAATGTCTTTATGCTTACATTTTCTTATGCAACAGCCTGGCCTTTACCCTAATTATTTCAATGCTTAGGAGCATGTGTCGCTTTGCCTGGTCTTATTTCCATCTATAAAAAAAAGATGAAGCATTTGAAAGTTTCCTTTCTCTATACCATTCCATAGGATCTCCCACAGACTGGAGGGAGAAGGGGCAGGAATCCTTTTTAATCCTTTAAGTCATCAGTGAACCAACTACTATGGCTAGTGGGCAACACACAAGGTATTTCAAACCCAACAATGTCAAAATGGAACTCATTGTCTTTCTCTTAAAACTCATTTTGTGTTCAGTAGTGCAGGACTATTGTCTTAAATTCTCTAACTGGAAACCTCCCGGGTTTTGACTTTGTAGTTCTCCCTACCTAAAACTCCACTCATCGTGCTCTGCTGATGCATATCCAACGCATCCCCCGACCCCGTGCCCATTGCACCACCCACATTAATTTCCAATTCTACTTCTGAGACAGCCACTTGACTAGTCTCTTTGCTCAGAATTGCTCACTTTCCCACACTGTCATCCGCACCTCTTTCAGAGCCATGCTGCTGGAGCATATATTTATTTGTTCATAAAACAATCTGCTTCAATCTTTTGATGGCTCTCTAAAACGCCAACATGCATTGTATGTTGCCATATGCCAGCCATTGTACCAAAAGCTTTACAGGAGTTATCTTATTTTCTCTTCACAGTAATCCTATGAGATAGGTACAATTATTGTCAACACTTACTGATGAGAAAATTAAAAGCATAGAGTTTCTATTACTTGTTCACAGTCACTCGGATGACAGGTGGCAGAGCCAACATTCACCTAAAATTATCTGACGCTCTCAACTACTCCACTCCAAACCCTTCCTCAGTCTGACTCCAAAGAGCTCTTGAGTCTCTTTTGCAGGGAGCTGGCAGACTGTGACCTTCCAAACTCAATGATTGTACATCAATGGTCAAAAGCCTTTGAACCACTGAGCTAGAATGCACGGTGAAGGCTTAGGGGCTCTCAGTAGCTGCCACCTCCCCTCCAAATGAGTGTGGCTCTTTCAGCCCACACATGGTAACTGAAATATCTTGATATCAAGTAGGGAAAACTCAAAACAATAAATTCCGCAGAACTTTTTTTTTTTTTTTTTTTTACAGTACTCTGTACTGTAGAACTGGAATTACATTTCAAAAATTGTGTTTCAGATAAAAAAATCACATACCAATCAACTTTGCCTCTGAATGTCTTATCACAATTCATTCACAAGAACCACTTAATGGAGGTGAGGATAGTGGCACTGGCAGAACACTGATGGTACTTGTAGTCATGGGTTTGTCATTGTAAAGCACCATCTATTCGACTTGTTATATAACTTCTAAGAATAAATAGCCGTTTGAAAAAAAGAAGAAAATGTTAGATATTGCTAAAATTGCCCTGACATATTCCACACACACAGTTTGATAAATATTTTATTGTTATTCCAGGAAAAGCTTTTAAAGGAATACATAAGCCAGCAATTATGGGGAAGGGATGTCTCCTTCTCCGAGATAGTAGAAATGTCAGCTCTTTGTTGCTAAGGAGAGAAAGGACAGATATACAATGGCATGATAGCTGAAATGTACACACACCCACCAAAAGGGCTGGAGTCCCAAGCAGCACATCTTTCTTTACTTATTAACAGCAGAAACCATGCACAAATATCCTGATGCAGCGTTCTGTCTGACTTGAATAAATGAGGGACATTCAACCTGTGTGGGGCCATTGCTGTGCTTCTGCCTATCAATTATCTAAACTCCCACGCAGAAAGCCTTGCTGCAAGAAGGCCTGGCTCCTTGAAACTAATGATCCAGTTGTTAGTACTAGTGCCCAGCTCTAAACTTCTAGCTCTGAAATCCATGGACTCAACCCATTTTTGATTAGAAAAATGTAGTCAAATACTCAACATCATTATCTTCTTTAAATTAATTTGGATAAACTGTAGTGCTCCAAGTTATTTCAGATTTTTTTTTTGTCACCTACCAGTACTATCTTAAATGCTTTCCTTACAGTCAATATAATGTATTGAAACATGTGTATGTAATGGATGTTTACATTTTCCTCCTGTAAGAGAGACTGCTTACCTCATCAAAAAATTACCATGAAAAGTGATCACTGACAGCCAATTATAAGCCATTATAAGAAGCATGCTATTTCTGAAATATTCAAATTATGTGATTTAAAACCTGTTATTCTATTCCAAGGTATCTATGACTATATTTGAGATTACATCTAAAATTTGAAATGATATAGAAATTGCTAGTTTATAAGCCACTCTCCACAGTGTGTAAATAATCTTAAACTCATCAAGAGCAGAGGTATTTTATTAATTGCATTTAATAACATAACTAAAAATTGTGAAAACATCCCCCAAAGCTCTAGTTAACAAAAAAGACAAATAACCCTTAGCATTTTTAAGCCTACATAAAGTCTGCCACAGGAGTTTCTTTCCTTTTTTAAAACGGCCTTTAAATAAATATATGAGTCAGTTTAAAAAGGCATTTACTTGGATTAAAGTGATTATTCTGCCAGAATGTCAGTATAATAAATTGTGGGTGGCAGAAGTTTTAAACGAGGTTAAATTAGAGATTCTAAGTTTATATATTTATTTTTTACTCACTCTATTGCTGTAATTAGAGAAGCTTTTGGTTGATCTTCAAATTGTGCCTTGTCATGGAATACCATACCTACCTGCTTTTATGATAAGTCCTATGGTGTATTTTCTCAATGACCAGAATGGTGGTATAATCCATATGCATGCATCCAGCTTCCCTCCTGCTACTACTACACACATATCCTTACACTTGTTTCATTTCTTCCACCACCTTTCATCCCTGATACTATACTCTTCCACTTTATTTCAATGTCTTCAATGGCAATGACCAAATTATGTTAGTCACAGAGTTTTGTTCCTGGTAAGCTATTTCATAAAAGAACCTAATACACACTGACTTTAAAATCTCTGCTAGTCTATGCTACCTGCACCGAGGACTGAACTAGCTCAATTTCGTAAACAAATATGTTTCACCACCAATAGGTGGTCTTGTAGAATGTGTTTTAAATGATGTAACCTCTTAGAAGAGCTGACCGTGTCTCAAGGCATGGGAAGCCTCACCTTCAAGCTGATACCAGCTGAGTAACTGAACTAATGAGCTTCAGGAGACAGATAATCCATAACACAGCTGGGACAATTCTGCTTGAGTGCCGACAACACTGAAATGGGGCATGATCTCACAGTATATCTCCTCTGAAAGTTCAATACAGCAAAGTAAACAGAAAAAAGTTCCACCTGATAATTTTATGCTAATTATTTAATTGACATTAAAATACTTCAACCATCATGTTTCTCTAGTTATCAAGTAAAGACATTAAAAATAAATACATTTTTAAAGGTTCACGATTGAACACTAATGTCTCTACTCTGAAATTAAAATATCAGAGGCTATCAAAACATTTTCGACATTGCATCCTAACGATGAAGATGAAAGCATCAGACCAAAGAGCTCTTATGCTGTTACACTGTGCATATTGTAATATTTATACAGAATTTTTGCCCAGCTCATTAACTTAATTCCATCTACCTCGTGCCATCCCTTAGTAATAGTTTTTTCACTAACTGTATGCATTTTCCACCCACTGCTCTGAGCACAAAAGAATCAAACACCACACTTGCTGCAGCCTAAATAAAATAGCAGTAGTCTTCACAAAAGGTGAATTTGGAATGACAATCTGCATTCCCAGTTCCTAAACTTCAAAGTAAACACTAATTGTCTTGTGGACAATGCATCGGGGTACACATATTACACGCGTATCAGTCTTGAACATTTAAGTGTGAAACGAGAGCAACAAATAGGCAAACCTTCCGCAGCAAAGGATGCGGGCTGCAAAGCAAGCCAGCAGCTATGAAGAATTCATGCTTGTTTTACCTACCGGCGTTGTCCATGTCTCAAGAGTGGTGAGGCGAGTTCTGTAGCCTGGCAGCCGGAAAGCCCTGGCTCTTCTGACTAACGAAGCACCCTGTCCTTCTGCTGATTATCAGCCCTTGCTGGCACACTGAGCATACTTCATGCACTGTCTGCAGGAGACACCGCCAGGAAATTTATATCTCCAAGGATGACAAACAGCCATTAGCTCCATTACAGGCTGATTAAGAGGGACTGAGCCTATCAAGTGGGTACTTGAATCCCCTGGGGGTTCCACCTCTGCTCTGAGCTAAGGAGGGGGAAAAAAAATCACTGCAATGTTGAATGTGTTGCACATTTCAGGAAAAAAAAGTGCACATGCTATGCAAAACACAGAGCTTTCCAAAAGATGCCAGGGCAAACAGGAGCAGGAAGAGGCATTGGTCATGAAAAGGTAAAAAGGAATATTTTAAAATACAATACATTATCCTTTCCTTGGGGTTAGTCTAAATATGGTTCAGCCTTTATCATTGACATCACTGAATGACTGGGCAACTTTTCAATTTAAAATTTTAAAGTGTTTTGGTTGTTGTTGGGGGAGGAGGCAGGGAGTAGCAAATAAAACATTGAAAAATAAAGACTATCTTTAATATCTCTGCTCGAAATAAATATTAGGAAGTTGAGTATTGCCATTCCATTTTAGTTATGTTCATCATGACTAGTTCTTCTATTTCTGATCAGAATTTCTGCTCACCTATCCTAATAGAGAAATTCAAAGTATTTTCACCAAAGGTCACTAAAAATACAAGAAAGAATTGTCAAAGGAGGTTAGGGGATTCTACAGTCTGTTATAATCTGTGGCTAAAGAAATGTGAAGATCAGGAAAGACTGACTAACACAGAAAGACCCTACTTCACTTCTTTTCTTTAATTTGGCTATGTAAAGAAGACTCTCAAAGACATCAAAAACTGCTTACGCTCTCAGGACACAAGGGTGAGCACAGTGCTGGAGAAATCAGGTGCCAGGCCTCGTGGCTGTCATGACATTAGATGCTGGGGACAGCACAACTGTTTTCTGCGTTTTCTCAAATATAGTACAAAGATTTATAATGACCTCATAGGACCTACAATAAAATGAATCTGCAGTACAGTTAGGCTCTCCAGGTCTTTTATACCAACAGATTTTTAAAAAACAGTTCATAGTGTTATATCCCCAGAGTTGCTAAACTTGAAAGGCAATTTGTTTATTAAGCATTTCTTTATGCCATTGGAATTCCTAGTGACACACCAGTTGCAAATTATTTATAGTCTAGTTTCCCATTGTAACAGCTTCTAGGTTTAAGTATTTTTGTTTTTAATGTAACTTCAAGATTTCCTATAGATATGAGGTTCTTTTATTGTTTAAACAAAACATTTTGTTTATGTCAGTGATAGCTCAGAAATGTTTTCCTCAAAGAAAAACTGAATTTCTCAGTGACTTTTAGCCTGAGATTTTTAACCCTGTCATTTCAATTCTGTCACACAGTTTTAAAGGTATATCACTCTACGAATTAAAAAAAAAAAAATTCTTTGTAGATTTTTTTAAAAATTTGCTTGGATCCCATAAGACTGAAATCACTGTGGTTTCTACACCTCATCTGCTTGCCCTGATTAAGACCTGCCAACTATCCAGAGTGAGTGTTATAAGCTCAAAATCTAGGACAAACTAACTATTTTTAAGAAAAAAAAAAAAAAAAGAGGAGCTAACAGGGAAATAAAGATAACAGAGAGAGAAGATACATCATCAAGACTGAGATGTGGGTAAGGAGTAGCTAAGAAGTCTCATCTATTGGCAGTGCCTATTGCCTAATATGAATATATTTATATTAGCTTTGTCCACAGTTCAAAATGTGACTCTGAGTTATTTTTATTACTACCGTTAGTCCTTAAATGACAAATGGATTATGTTCCAAAAGTTCGTTTTATTGGTCGTTCGAAACACACTTTTTTTTTCCTAAATACTGATGGCTTCCAAGGACAGCCCATTAAGCACTCCCTAACTCACAGTGCGATTTGTATAAAATCTAATCTTTACCCACAATTCTAAAATCCAGAAAGTTTTGAAAATATTGTTGTTTTTTGTAAGTTTGGCTCCAAAATGCATTTAGCGTCATAACTTGAAGTGATGTGATGCTATTAAAAATCTTTACTTATCCCACTTAGAGCAAATAATCATGTTTTTTTTGTTTGTTTGTTTTTTGTTTTTTTTTTGAGACGGAGTCTCGCTCTGTCGCCCAGGCTGGAGTGCAGTGGCTGGATGGATCTCAGCTCACTGCAAGCTCCGCCTCCCGGGTTCACGCCATTCTCCTGCCTCAGCCTCCCGAGTAGCTGGGA